AGAGAGAGAGAGAGAGAGAGAGAGAGAGAGGAAAAAAGAAGAAATATCTGAAGCAAATCTGCAATAAGGTAAAATCTACTACATCTTGGCAGTACATACTTGGATGTCATCTAATGTTCTATATTTTAACTATTCCATTCGTGTGTGTGTGATGCTAGGGATAGAACACAGAGCTTTTACACTGAGCTATAGCACCAGCCCTTTTTTATTTTTTAAATTCCGAGAAGGCAGGGTTTCCCTGAGGCACTACATGGCTCAGCCTGGACACTACTTTATAATCCTCCTGCCTCAGCCTCTCAGAGCACTCAGATTCTCTGTGCATGCCGCCATGCCTGGCCTTTCTTACTTAATTTAATGAACAAAAGCTCAGTGTATGCCCAGCACAATAATTAAAAATGCTGTCCGGATGCTTTCTGAGGGCCAGGTCACCTCCTACTCTGGCCACTGGCCCATCTGGGGCCGCAAACCACGCTGGGCCAGACATCTCTTCCACTCCTGCTGCAGCCTCAGGTCCCCTCAAGCACTGGGGAAGCCATGGGGCTCACATCTTACCAGACCCAGAGCCTCAGGCTGTCCCATGGGCCTGGCTGTGGAGGTCATGAGGGCTTCAGGCCTCCTTCCCACATTCTCTAGGCCTGGGGGCCCTGGGTCCCAGCACTCACCATGGGTGGCTCCCAGGAGGGCAAAGCAGGACAGAAGCCAAAGGAAGGCCATGGTGCTGCTGTCAGGGAAGATGGTGTCTGCCTGTTTGGGACTCCTTTTATGTCCCCTAGTATCCCCTTAACCATGACCAGCTGAACAGCCTGAGCACCACCTCCCTCTTATCCAAGGACCTTGAATGATAAGTAGGGGCTAGGCCCCTCTCCCAGCCTGGCTGGCTCCTAGCCTGGAACATGCCAGCTCTTGGGAAAAGTACAGATGCCTTGTACCCATGCCACCTGCAGTCTGGGCAATGCTATGAGCAAGGAGGAGCCTGGGCTCTGAGGAACCCACTCATGTGGCCTTTGCTCAAAGGTAAGGTAGGCAGGGAACTCTGCTGTGCCCAGCACCTCTGGGGGCCTTGCCCTACAGGGCTCCAAGGAGCCCCACCAGTGGTGGCTGGGGTCTCTGTGTTCTCCAGAGCTGGCCCTGGAGTACTAGATGTCAGCTGCAGGAGCTCAGTGAAGCATTCGATAAACACTTGTTGAAAAGTAAAGCCTTGCTCAGATGATCAAAATTACCCAGGGGTCACCTTGTCCCAGCCCACCAAGCAGTTTGAGAGTGGGAGGGTGAGGAGAGTCGCCTTGGTCACAGGATGGCAAAGCCAATGCCAGGCCTCCCACCATGTCTGTTGGCACTTAGCTGTCTTCTGTGATTCCTCATGATTGAAGAAAGCAGTCTATATGAAGCAGTTTCTTATAAAATGGAGCCTCGATGCCAACCACAACATGACACACAGAACAAACTTCATTGTCAAAATACAGCATAACATCTGTGCCCATGCAAGCGCAGGAAGAGAAGTCATGTGTATTCTTGGGATCCTGTACTGTTCCCACAGCTAGTGACAGATGAGGCCACCAATCCAGTGAGAACAGAGTGAGCGATTACAGGGCCTGGTGAAGCAGTGAGGTTCACAGGCCCCCCTGTGTCGAGTAGGGGACAGAAGCACAGTCAGTGAGCTGAGGCCTCCTCTAAGGCTCTGTGCTCACCAGGGTCACACCATCCAGCAGAACCTGGTCCAGGGAGCAGAACAGTGGCCCTGGGCTTCTTGAGGCAAAGCTGTGGTCTTGAACTTGGTGCACTTTGAAGTTTCCTTTCTCCTTGTCTCACAGGGTCAGCTTCGTGTGCTGTCTTCCAGCAGGGAGGAGGCACAACATCCAGCCTGTGGCCAAGCAGAAGCTCCGGCTGGTGGTGCCGGTGTGGCACCAGAGTCCCGTGGCCCTGGGCCCCCATCTGTAGGGACATGGTCTCAGGCCGCTTTCCAATTCCAGTGCTGTGGCTGCTCCTCATGGTTCCCGTGCACTGGGGCCTGAGTGTGCCACCGAGCAGCAGTGCCAGCTCTGAGCACCAGGAATCCCTGCTCCAGTTCAGGCCGGGGGGTCTCTTGCACTAATGAGGTTGTCCAGGTTCTTCCCATCACCTGTTCCATCTCGCTCACCTGGGAGACTTTTCCAGCGCAGAGAACAGCAGCAGATGAAGCCATGGGATCTTCCTGCCCAGCGTGGGAGCTGGACTCCCAGAAGACTTGAGCACGGGGTGTCTGTCCTGGAGGCTCAGGATAGGGAGGGGGAGCTCGAGATGGGCTGGCGCCAGCAGGCTGACATTCTGCGTCTGCTGAGGAGTCTTTCCTACCGGCACTTTCTCTCTGTCTCCAGCCCAGGTCCCGTTCAAACCAGCCCTGAGGCCTGCACATCCAGGGCAGGGTGCTGTGGTTACAAAGGCACAGCTTTTGCCCCTGCCTGGTCACAGCATCTCCACTTCCTGTCCCCAGGGAGGAGCTTAGGGGAGCCCCCTCCCCCATGTGTTAGTCTATCAGTGCTGTCAAAATACAGAATGTGTCATTGTGGGGATGTGGAGCCCAACCACCATCCTGAGCCACGGAAGAAAGAGACCCTCACCTGGGCCACAGTGCCAGGTACTGCCAAGAGGAGGCTTTCTCCAATGCCTGCTCCCAGAATAAGGGGAGAAACTGATGCTTTAGCCAGGACTGGACATACATTTGATTCCACAAAGGAAAAAAAAGAACCACCATAATGGTGCTTCTATTTTCTGTCTCTACATTCTGCCCCCAGGAGCCTGAGCCTCTGGGGGGAGCCACTCTTCCCCTACAGAAATCTTTCAATGATGGCCAGCCATGGTGACACATACCTGCAACACACACTCTGTGGGTGGCTGAGGTAGGAGGACTGCAAACTGAAGCCCAGTGTGGGCATTTCAGTGACTTAGTCGGACTTTATTTGAAAAGTAAAACTGTAAGAAAAAAAAATATATCTGGGGATGTAAGAAAAAGAAAAGGAAAGGAAAAAACCCTTACAGTTATAGATTGGATGGTGTTCTCCCAAGAAGATACGAAATCTCCTTCCAACCTGTCCCACTCCTCTCATGCCCTCTAGTTCTTATCAACAGTAGGCTCAGTAGTAGATTGGAAAATTCAAAATTCTTGACATCTCCCCATACCCAAATGCTTTGTCTTCAGTCTTTGTTTCAAGTTGGAAGGAGAGAGGCTGCTAATTCCAAGGCACAGTGGCCAGGCTGTGTATAAAAGTCCATCTCTGAGCTTCAGTAGCAGTAGCCCAGGCAGCCAGACTGCTGTGCCACAGGGCTGATGCAAAGTGCCTCTTCCCTCATCCTTGCCTGGCTTCCAACTGAGGACCAAGGGAGGAAATCAGCACACCCTAGCAGTCACACAGGCGCTGCACTGGACTTAGCCTGCATCCACATGCTTCCTTCATGTGCTACTGTAGAATCTCTCTCTCTCTCTCTCTCTCTCTCTCTCTCTCTCTCTCTCTCTCCCTCTCTCTCTGAGGCATGAGTTTCGTTATGCAGTTCAGGCTGGCTTTAACTCACTTTGTAGCCCAGGTTTGCCTTGAACTTGTGTTGATCCTCTTGTGTCTGCCTCCTGCATGCTGGCATTACAGATGTGCACCTCCATGCCCAGCTGTGCTGGCATTGCTGAACCCCAGGGACTGGGCTGTTTGTAACCAACAGAAGGAATTTCACCCACCCTAGATGCCAGAAGTCCCAGCTCCAGCTGCCATCAGCTTTGAGCCCTAGGGGATTTCTTTCTTTCTTTCTTTCTTTCTTTCTTTCTTTCTTTCTTTCTTTCTTTTTTTTCACACCTGGGCATTAAACTCAGGCCCTTGCTCTTGCCAAGGAAGTGCTTATTCTACTGAGCCATCTCCCCGGCCCGCAAGAGGATTTCTGAGCCCAAGATGGTACATGGAATGCTGGTCAGGCTGAGCTTCCCCTGGAGAAAGGGTAGAGCCTTCTTCATCCCAGTTTCAGTGGGGTTCCAGAGTCTGTGCCACTCAAACCATAGCATCCCTGGCCTGCAGCTTTTCTAGCCTGCAGCCCACCCCATGGTACATCTCAGCCTTCCAGGGCCCCCTGCCTGTCTCAATCTCTACCACTCACAGGTAATGTGGGGACTCCCTGCTGTAGCAGTCTCTGCAGAATCAGCTACTGGGTGCCCTCACTGAATGGTCTTCACTTCTGCCCACAATGGCCTAGCACCTGCTGGGTCTCCTTCCTGGGTCCAGGGATCCCCTTTGTTGTCAGCCCACAGCCTGGCTCTGCACTGTGGTCAACCGCCCTACAGATCCCCTGGACCCTGTCCTCTCTTGCGTAAACACTCCCTGTATTGACCTGTTGTACCTGCCCCAGCAAGGATCCTGAGTGGGCTTTTCCATAGCTGGGATGGGCACCTGGGGCAGTCAGTGGAGAAGGAAGGAAGGCTTTCGGCCCAAAGTTTCATTAGTTTCGGTTCATGTTTGCTTGGCTGGGCTGCCTAAGGCCTGTGCTGAAGGGGAACATCACTGTGGGGCCTAGGTGGCCCAGCACAGCTGCGCACTATAGGGCACTGGGAAGCCAAGGCACACCCCCAGTGACGACCTCCCTTTCTTCTACCTTGCCTCACCTTCGAAAGGTTTTAACACTTCGCACTGTAAAGCCACAGGATAGAGACCAATCCTTTAGCACATAGGCCCTATGGGAACTTTCAAATCTGAAAGTGCAGGAATGTCGGGCGCCCTCCCGTCCAGCAGGAAAGCACTCAACACGATTTGTGCGGCGGAAAGGTTTTAATCGTTCTCCTGAGTGATGCGCCCCGAGAGAGCACAGTTCCTCTCTCCGTCCCTCTTCCTGTCTCTGACCCTCCGCGTCGCGGAGCGTTTCTTTTAT